GGGGGGGGGGGTCGTACTTGGTTATTTTTGGGAGGGAGGGGGTCGTAATTTTTAAAAAATGGTCACAACGCGATGGCGTGCCCTGTCCACTGCGCCATGTCCACAACTTCATTTCCGAGCCATCCATTCTTGCAAGCTGTGTCGCTGCAGTTCTGAGTAATGCCCTCTGCAAATACGACCTTCTCCCTCCCGAAAGGGTCAAGTCAGACCCCCCCCCTCGTCGCGGATTCCGCGACGTATGCTCAACTCTGATTGCAGGCCCCGTCACTACAGCCACGCCCACATTTCAGCGTGGTCGTGGTTTTTCGAACTACATTTTATGACTTCCACCTTTGCTATTTTTTTTGCACTTTTTTTTACTTCGCCCATAAACACTAGCTGAGAAGTACTGTACATCGGCACATGAGCAACCCTGCAACATATCATAGAATTTTCGCAAGTTTCGATCTTTTATAAATTTTTTCAACGTTTTGTTGTTTTTCTTACAATCTTCTTACAATGGAGGCACTCGAAGCACGCATTCACGCACTGACAAATTAGGCCCCTTGGCCACCCCAGTTTGCGGCTTTTTGCGAAGTTTTGGCATTTCTCCGAAACTATCACATTTTTGTACCGCTACATGAAGCCCGCCCACTTTGCAGAGGCCCCGCCCACTATTGAAAAACGGTGGAAAGCGACAGGATAGACTCTCAGCTTGCAAAGAATGGCTAGGGTCTGCTGGTACTAGGAGCAAAAAAACAAATCAAGCTTTGTCCCGAATGACGAGCGAGACCCTAGCATTAAGGCTGACCAGGGAAGTCCGCCAACTTACCATGGAACATTTGAATGGAGACCTGGGTAGATCGGTAGAGTCTATAAGGGTATTTACAAATATAGATAGCAACACTGCAACCTGCATTTCGCAGGCAACTTTATGAGCAGGTTAAAGTTTGTAATACTGCAGTAGTCGGTGCGGCAGGCTTGGTGGTGAGCTCTGAAGCATAATCGAGGAATCGCATACGTCGAATCGAGTCGTCGAACGTCGAACCTTACCACTGAACCACCACGACTTGATTCGACGTATGCGATACCTCGCTTATGCTTCCTTTTACATCCACACTACGCTTCACATAGAGGCAATCGCAAACTTTTATCAGCTGCTCTTAATTGCCTTGTAAATGCAGGTTGCAATTTTGCTGTCTATATTTGCAAATAACCTCTCTATAGACTCTATCGATCTACCCAGTTCTTCATCCAAAGTTCCATGGTAAATTGGCGGACATTCCTGGTGAGACTCTGAGGTCGACTTTTCAAAAGTGTGGGCAAGCCTCTTTCAAGATTCTGCAGATTCCAGTGGCCTTGCGTAAGCGTCGGAAGGGGGAGGGGGGATGATGGGAAGAGGGGTGGGGTGACACTCCCCTCCGTCCCTCTGTCCCTCCTCATCGAATCGATCGAGCAGTTCAGCGAGGGGGGGAGTAGCACATGTGAAACAGGAAAAGCCGCGAGACAATACGACCCCCCTTCTACCAATTCTCAGATTTTCCCCAACTTCCTGCCACTTTTTCCAAAATTTCCCGAAAACTTCCCTACTTTTTCCAAAAATTTTGCTGTCGATCAGAGGGGAGGGGATTATACTATGCATGAAAAAGGGAAATGAAGAAAATCAGGAAAAGTCAACCACCACTCCTAGAAAGGCCAGGAAGTCAGAAATCAGGAAAAGTCAACCACCACTCCTAGAAAAGCCAGAAAGTATTATAAGTACAACTCCCCCCCCCCCCAACAATGAGCATGTATGACCCCGCCACCTTTTGCAAAATAAATTTTCCTCAGCCCAAATACGATCCCCCCTTTCTTGGCGCCCAAACACGACTCCCTGTTGGGGATTCCCCAACAACGAGGTGCTCTGGTCAGTGCATAAATGCGCGCGCGGCTACGAGTACCTCCGTTGTGTGAAGAGTGGAGAAAAAAACAATAACCTTGGGAAAAGCTATGGAAAGTCGAAATTCGCGGCATATTCTTCACACAGTCGGCGGAGTTGCCCATGTGCCAATTCAGTCTTTCCAGATCGTGTATGTGCGAGGTAACGGATGTGACTGTAGGGGCGGGCTTACAGTAGCGTCTGGTGAGGCAGAGGCAACTAGTTCTTGAAATGGTTGGAAAAAAACTGTGAAATTGGTTTGGAACGTCGTGAATTTTTTTCGAAAAGTCGTGAATCTGGTCTGGAATTCTTGACTTAGGTTTGAAAAGTCGTGATCGGAGTGAAGATTTTAATATCACGTGATTAACGATTACTCTTAGGTGAGGCACATAAGTCACCTACAGAGCTACTGCTGTACTAGGTATACTCTCAGATGACTTGATATTATCGAAAAATCGCAAATGTTCTCGCATTTAGACTGGTAGACATAATAGCTGGAGGATACAGATTCACGTATCTCCAGGTGATGTGATATCTA